CTGGAATGCAAAGCTGGTGGGGCTGATGTGCTGTATGGGTTAGTAGAATCACCTGTAATAATACCACTTTCATGCTTTCAGAACTGAAAAAAGAAAGTTAGTTGCACTATCAGTGTTAGTTTGCATAGCGGAGATTAGCAGACGGTGGGGCACCTTTCAGAAATCTAGACAGGCTTCCATAATAACTACGGAGGCTCCCTGGGGAGAACCTTTTCTCCTATTGTTGTGCAGAAGATATGTGTTTAAACAATTTTAATATTTATTATGTGTGTGATGTGAGACTAAGTGGATTTAGCTTTGACTGTGTAGATTATAATAATCAATGCTCTTTTTGCACATTTGTTTTTTCCAAATTCTGTTATCCTTTGCATTCTGTGTCATTACATATTTTTAGCCACATCGTACTATATAAGGTGATCATTATTGTATATTTTCATTTAAAATTTACTCCACAAATGTAATAATTATCTAATAGAGGAATGTTTTAAAACTTTACTCAGAAAAATAACTATATAGTTTATAAAGCCAATAGAATCGGTGTGAATCTCAGGAATGATTTTCCCTTTTGGTTGTCATAGCAGCATTCCCTAAATATAAATCTTAGTGTTAGACATCCTTCACTGAAGTGAAATAAAGAACCATTATGAGACAAGTCATTGGAAAATTAGATGGTGCAATCTGGAATACTCCCTTTTGAAATAATGCATGTGGAAAGTGGTAAATCACAGTCTCCCCAGACTTAAATTATTCCTTGATTGTAAGTTGCTTTTCTGAAGAAAGTTGAGTCCCTTTAAGTTCACGTTAACTCTTCATGTTGTTGTTGCATTGTGGGTGCCTCATAGTGTTAAAGGACTGCCCTTGGCATACTTGAATGGGACTCATTAAGGTTCACTGTAGTTTAAAAGAAAATATTTGGGTTATTATTGTTAGAAAACAGTATCAGAATATATGAATTATGTGTGTTACTTAGTTAGCTTTAGTCTTTGTACCTTACTCATGTATTTAGTTGTAGATCATAATTCCCAGATATTACCTGCCAAATATTTAGCACCCACCTTGCATTTTCAGCAGTGCTTTTAAGCTTCTGGCAATAACCACCACAAACAAAACCTCAGGGATCAAAATAACCTTATAGTCATAGTATTTAAGTGAATGTCTCATTGGTACTTGGAGGAAAATTATTTGATTAAATCGGCTTTCTTGACAATACCACGTGGGTAAGAAATTAACCAATAACTGATAGGCCTTTAGAACATATGTTCTCCTTCTTCATGTTCTTTAAAATATAGGACCAGTTTGTGTTAATTTAGAAAATAAGAAATAGATTTTATTAACCGTTATGTAGAAAGAGGAGAGGATTTTATATAATACACATAATATGTTAAATTTAATGGGAGAGTAAACTTGTTAGAGTTCATATTATGTTGTGATGATTCAGTAAATTAATAAACTTGGTACAGAAGCTGCCTAGAATTATTTCAAGTATTTAAAAATAATAATACATTTTAATGTTTTTTTTCTTGACGATTTTACATTAGGGTCCTAGGTTATTAAATAGATGGGACGATATGGTTATTATCTAGGAAGTAATCTTTTTTTTTCCAATTCTGTCTTCTTTTTGCTGGAGTCTTAGAAGAGCACTGCCGAAAATGTGAATGGGTAGTAGACTTTGACACACAAGTTCGATTGTTTGCATTTACTTGTCCAAAGTTTACGTCACACAGCAGGGCTACATTCCCAGCACCCTGTATGTGACTGAGGTGTGTTCTGCACTTCCGTTTGGAAGATGATAGTATTTTGGGGTAGTAGAAGCAATTCTGGAAGGAATCACGATGCGTGGGTTCTAACTATGGCACTTTCAATCCGAAATTATTAAATCAAGTTTTCTTTTTGATGGCGAAGTCTGCACATCGTCAGCTTCTGTCTCGCTCCTCTGCTTCTTTTCCTTTAAGCCCTGCTCAATTGCCCTGGGCAGGGTGGGTCTTTCTCTCATTTGCGTTTGCTTACATGGTGAGTGGCACATCCTTAGTTCAGTCGACATGCTTATCCCACTGCCTTCTTGTCAGATGCTCTTTCTGGATGATGAGCTCCAGAGAGGAAGGGCCAGTACTCTTTCTGTCCATCCTGGTGGTCCCAGCACCACTGTGGCACTAGACTCATCAAAGGACCTGCTAGATGCTGGAATGAATGAGCGAGTAAATGAGAGAAATATAGAATCTGCATTTTATCAGTAAGGAGGACTAGTAGATCGCTTCTCTTTTTTTGTATTTGCCTTATGTACTAATTAGTAATTTAGGTTCATTCTGAACTCTTTTTGAATAGCAAGGGTGAAAGACATGTAAGACACCATATATTACTTTAAGAGACAGAGCGGTGTGTCCACGGTATGTATGTATATAAATACTTATACGTTGTTATTCGGAATTAAATTATTCTTTTGGAAACACAATTCACATCATGACATTTATTCGTTGAGCGCACGAAAGCATTATGGTGTCTACTATGGGGTAGACAAAGATGAATGAGGTGTAGATGATGTCCCAAAGGGGTCAACAGAGGAATTAAAAAATATTTTGTGGATGATAATGTTATCAATGATATTAATAACAATTATTAATATCATTCTTGTTAGAGTAGTTATAAGCAAGTGTCTGGGGACTTTACATTGGGAATCAGGCAAATTTAACCATTTTAGCATAAATTCTGAGCATTTATGTTCAGATTCAGCAAGGCTCTATCTTCTTTTGTGTCTGCTTTCTGCAACCTCTTCTCCAGTTTTTTAATACCCAATGTTAAGTTAAGAAGTAGACTAGAAGTTTGGGGCACAAAAGAAATTTGTTATGGACACACCAAATGATAGGCTATGTTTAGGTTTTGTCTGTTCATTTGGTTCTCTCTGATGATGGCAGGAAATGGAAAGAGTTTCAAGAAAGTATTTTGGAGAAGAAATGCTTATGAAATACAAACTAGGTTATATGGTCCCTCTCCTGCCTTGTGATGTTGACATTAAAATCTAGGAGAGCTCTAAGTAATATGCCATCATTGAGTAGCTTCACAAATAATTGAATCTGAAAAAAATCATTGGATTGGTTTACTAAAATCTTTTTAACCATTTTCTTACCACTGAACACTTTTTTTTCAAAACTTTTATTTTGCTATTGGAAACAGTGTAATTTATATTCTCATAGATATATTTTGTACACAACCATGATTTTAGCTTTAGAATAAGTTTTAGAAG